TAACCGATGATCTGTTACGAAGTTGATTACATGAGTTACCCACTAAAGGGGGGCTCCAGAATATCCCCGCCACTTCATAAACGCAAGGTCAACATGTGGAAACCCTAAGAGTCAACAAGTTGATGCGACCATGACATATAGAAACCACCATACTTCACTGGAAAGGAAAAAAAAAAGAATTTATCTTCTATATATCGGCGGTGGAAATAGTCTCTTTACGTTACAACTTTGAGAGCCGGGCACACAATTAATTATCATTTCAGGTAGCTATTTATACGAATTAAGTGTCTTGATCTCAAGGTGCAAAAGAAATATCATAAATGCAAGGAATAAAAGTGAACAAAAAAAGATTAGCATAATCTTGGAAATTACCAAGTTAGATGGCTGTAGGCCACATAGTTAAGCAACTTATGTCATGATGGAACATCCCCTTTTTCTTTTGAAAAAAAAAATAAAACTTGTTAAGAAACTGTCAACTGTTTTCTCAACTATACCAGGGAAGGAGGGTGAAGGTGAACTACCAAAAACTTGAAAATCTCAGAGAATGTCTTTGCACATTTTCTCATCAAACACATGGCCGATCATTCACCTACCATCGATTAAAAACCAATCACGAAGGACCCACCTTCGTATTATAAACGCCTTTCTCATGCACCCTACGCACCATCGTCAAATCACACATTTGAGTTGACAATAGAGATCCCCCATTGCACCTTCTTCTCCAACCAAAGCGAAGCTTGATCTATCCCTTGAGAATCACCAAATTTTCACTCCAACGGCATCTCACAGCCAGGTCGTCTTCGCAATGCTGGTTGCGCTGGCGCTGTTCGACGGTGGGCTAGCGGCACGCCATCTCGTGGACAAGACTCTACCACCGGCCGCGGCGACCCTGCCCACCATCCCCACTTTGCCGTCTCTCCCAAAACCCACTGCACTGCCGCCAATGCCCACCCTCCCAACTACTCTTCCGCAGCCGACACTGCCCACCACCCAGCCTTCCCTGCCGACGCTGCCCACTTCGCTCCCTCCGCTGCCAGCCGGCTTGCCCGCCATGCCAACCGTCCCAAAGGTCTCTCTCCCCCCACTTCCGAGCAGCTTTCCCTCGATCCCCACCACCATCCCGACCACTTTCCCGTCCATTCCCTTCCTCTCTCCACCGCCATCAAAATAATCGAGCCAGGGTGCTTTGGGTTATCTTCTTCAGTTTATGAGGAGTATGACATCTCATATGTTTCAGACACTACTTATCCATAGACCGTTGGTTCTTGCTATTGCGTTATTCATTTGAGCTGCGTATGTAGGCCAGAACTTCTGTCAGCTCTTAGCTGATATTGCGCTTCTCCGCTGCTTTTGTATGGTTGTGTACTGTTTCACGCACTTCTGTGATGTATACTAATTAGATCTCGTCTGGAGGTAGTCGTTCTTTCTCTTCATGATCTTTGTTGTTTCATACTATTGCCCCTTAATTCACTACCCATTATTTCGATTTTCCATGCAAAGTTTTTGTATATCTCCGCATGCAAAACAACGTTCATTCAAGTTTGAAATTTGATTACTTCAAACGAGAACTGACGGGAAAATGAATATGTGCAAAGGGAAAGCCTAAAGGATGAGAGAAAGACATTTAATATATGGAATTCAAGGAACAAGGCATGGGAACACGACGAATAACAATGAAGTGCGCAATTTTACTCTTTTCAAAACCTTAAAATGTTTGTACGAGCAGATAACCAAATTTATATGTTGATATAGGCACTTGAACCTGTGGTATGTTTATAATCTTTACTTTTACGTCCATTCATAACGAGTAAGCCAATAACGCAGTATACCCTAACGACGAATGTGCTAAACGTCCATAGAATGTCTCCCGCATTTTCTCATCGACATGGATGACGACGCCCTCGCCCTCGCCCGCGTCTCTCTTCGCAACCCTATCTCTGTCTATGAGATCGTTCGCGGCTCGTGACGGTAAGGCTACGCGAACTCAGCTTGAGCCCACAGCTCGCAATCGCCAAGGTCATGCGAGATTGCCTCGAGATTGGACGGTCGTGGCCAGCCACGAACCTCTGTGACAGGCTCTATGAGCCACGCGACCTCTGCAATGGCCGTTAGTTGGCAAATCGACCTTCACTGGCTTCAAATCTTAGGCTTCATTTATTTAGTAGAAGACATTACATTTCTTAAAAATGTTTTTCAACAAGTCATTTTCTAGAAAAATGATAATATTTTCTGGTATTTAGTTGAAATTCCAAAAAGATCTGGAAAGTACTTTTCGTCCTTTGGAAAGGAAAATCTAATTTGTTTTTCCAAATACACATACATTATTCAAGTTCTAGTAACTTACGCAACGAGCAACTGGGAAACCAAGCACAGGCACTAGGATCTTGGGTCCAACCTCGATGGATCTCGACCTAAGCGTCGGGAACCCAAGCACGGGCACTTGAATCTTGAGCAAGAGCACATGCACTGGTCCTAGGTCCACAGAAGTAGGGCTCGAAACCTTGGTTCTCATGCCCAGATCCCTAGCAGCCAGGCCTTGGTCCACAAAAGCTGAGTGCGGGACCTCGTTGCCTTGGCCTAGGCAATGGTTTTGGTGCTCAGACTCAGGTCCCTGACACTCGAGCCTTGGTCCATGGAGGCTAGGCCTAGGATGCTAGTACCTCGTGCTTGAGTCCCTGACAATAGTCCCCGGGTTGTTGGTGTCGAACCTGAGTCCTCGATGCTCATGCTCGAGTCCCCGGTGCACGTGCTCGAAACCCCAAGGCTTGTGTGGAATACAGGCACGGGTACAAGCATTGGGGTCTCGGGCACGGCTCCGGGACTCAAGCTACAACTCGATGGATTCAAGCCCAACCGTTAGGGACCCAGGCCCTAGCCTTGATAGGCCCGGGCTCGGGGGATCCAGGCACGGTCACTGGCAACCTGAGCCCAAGCATCGGAGACCTAGGCACGGCCTTTGTGGATCCAAGGCCAAGTGCTGGGGATCCAAGCAAGGGTATTAGGGTCCCGCACTCAACCTTTGTGGATTCGGGCCTGAGTGCTAGGTCATCAAGCTCGGGCACCGAGGCCTCAATGGCCCAGGCACTGGCATAGTGGTCCCAAGCCTGGGCTCAATGGACCTGAACTCAAGTTGGGCACGGGGGATCCGATCCTAGACTTTGGGGATTGAGAATAACTATTAGGTTTTCTGTGCCTAAGCGTAGAATCTTTGGTTCAAGCGTTAATATTTAGTTATATTTTTGAAAATGATTTTCGACTTTTTAAAGAGAAAATCATTCTTGAATTTAAGCGTATGTTTTACGTTGGCTCATTTTTCTAAGGGATTCAACTGCCGGCAAATGAGGAAAATATTTTTTACGAAACAAACGGAGCATAAGTCAATGACGGCCTTCAAAGAAGCAATGGCGGGGGGCACAGGAGAAGGAGATGGAGGGGGAGACGTAGCAGTGGCTGGGTAAGGCTACAAGTCCGTCCGATGGGAAGAGAGTTTGGGTAAAGTGTTGAATTTTTTAGAGATGGGAACAAGCTTGGGAACACAAAATGACAATTTGGTAAATTATATGTAGACGGAAGATGTAGTTCGAAATTTATTGTAAAAAGTGAGAATGATAATTGTTGATTTTGAAATGATAATCATAGATATAGCAAAGTAAAATTGAAGATGGTTTTTGTAATTTTCCAATTAAAATATTAAGTGATTCGGCTCCATTATATTGAATGTTTTAGCACCTCAATTTACTTTGGGCATTTCTTCTAAAAAAATCCATGATGACTTCATCACATTATTAAGTTTGCGAAAGGTCCGAAGAGGATTTCGGGAATTCAAACCTGCTTTTAAAAATTTGATTGACGATAAGCAGATTCGGCCTAGATATAAGAATGGAAATAGGAATAGAAGTGATAAAACATAATCGATAAAATTCATCTAAAAGTTTTTCTTGTAAAGTTTTATGGAACCGATACCAACGTCATGTCATATTCTAATCACGGCATGTTTCTAAATAAGCTAACGTTTACCTTCAACATGTATCGAATAGGTCGGTGGCGTCAATTTCCACGTTGCCCTTCAAATCATTTATGATTTTCCCTTTATATAGGTGCCGTTTTTCAATCATTGTGTATCTAATTACCTTTTAATGAGTTAGTTTTTCGTTATATCGGATTTATTAAATTATAGATATTAATGAGGTGGAACTTATGATCTCTTATGATCTATCAAGAAGAGATATTTCATTGGGCATTCCAACTGTTAACTAATTCAAGAAAAGTGAAGTTAACTGTTGTTTGTTAATCTAACTGTAAAAATATTGCTACTATTTTTACACACCCAAACATACAAAGCCTAAGCTTTATTTTTTGGTCATATACAAAGCCTAAGCTTAGTCAGTGCAAAAGCAAAAAAAACGTTAAACCGGGTTAGAAAATTCAATTCAAAAGGCAAATCGTCTTGACCCATATTAGACTTACAAATGAAAATAAAGTATTTCCAATTTTCTATTTCCTTGAAAATACAATTTCTACTAGATATGAAAAATCTGAACTCATGCTTGGTTTTTGTATATATTTGTTGCTTTTTTATTTTCTTTATTTGACGGCATTTTCACTTAAACTTTAATGTCTAACCTAAATATAAGATTTAAATAACATAAAAAGGCGTATATATTTTTAATCTATATGTTCTTAAAGGCACGTCTAGTTTTCATGAAAAAAGCTCCTAAAAGATGAAAATCAGGAGAATATGTTTGAGTTCATGGTCTTTTTGACATGAATATTTAAATTAACTATTGTTTATCACTTCAGACAGTATGTAAATTAACATCGATAATATGGATAAGATGCAATATATAGATGAAAATCATGCAAATAGGTTTGAGTTCATAGCCTTTTGACATGAATATTTAAAATAAGAACCGGTATTTCTTAAATCGAAATATATCACCTGTCAAATACATGGAGTGGGATATTTTTCCTTTATATATAACCCCTGTTTTTCCATTCACTTTTACGGTCCTTCTTCTCTTCCTCTGTTATAACTTAAATGTCATCTCCTTCGTTCCTCCTGCCTCCGCCATAGCCGAGGGCAGAGATCGACGCCCCCTGTGCCCTCCTCGATTCGACGCCAACGGCGGCGTGGAAACGAGCTCCCACCAGTCACCACTTCCGGCGAGCCTTCGTCGACCGTCGTTCGCTGCCGGCGGCGAAATAACCACCAGCGATTCAGCTGATCAGCTGTCGGCCGGCGATCGATCGGGACGGGGAGAGAGAAGTGCGAACGGTCGTGAGAATTGATTTGAGCAGGCCCTCGAAAACACTGAAAACCACTCTGAGCTACGGGCACCTTGCATCGGGGCCTCGGTGTCGTGAATATGGGTTACGATTCTGGGGATGCTTCGGAAGACAGTCGAGATGATGGTATGCCGATTCTGCACTTCCGCAATGGAATTTTTAACTGTTCATTATGTATCCCCTCATGCGGATTGCATGATATGCGGAATACTGTGTGACAGAGAGTTTTATTGCGAGTGCGTTTGCCGTATACCTAAGTTTTTTTTTTTTGTTTGTTTTTTGGGTCGAAAATACCTAAGTTGAAGACGCAGTAGTCTGGTGAAAGAAGTGAACTTTGCTCGCGCTATCTGTCAATCTTGAAATGATTGTTTTTTCTTCGGGTGAATTTCTTTCAATTTCTGTCGCATATAAGGTGATGATTTGCCTCAAATGACATGACAGATGACGAGGAGGAATATGAAGAGGGCGGGAGCGGCAACCGCTTTCTGGGGTTTATGTTTGGGAATGTGGATAACTCGGGTGACCTCGACGTTGATTATCTTGATGAGGTGATTTCTTTCGATATCATTGTTTTGCGTGCATCTTTTGAACGTGGGCAGCCTACCCAAGAATACATTGCATCTATGCTTTTGCGCCTGACGCAGGTGTGGTTGAGCTCAGTAAGATTACCGGGTGGAGCTTTTAATTTGTTAGAGGTGGCCGGGAGCTTTTATTTGACTAATCTTGATAAATTATGGGTGGCTGTGGTGCGCTCTAGCTGGAATAATTTAATGCTGAAGTATTCTATGTCATACTCCTTGCGTCCTGTGTAAATGAATATCCGAAGCCGCTTGAGTGCATTCTGGACAGACGACGGCTGTAGATATCCAAACTTCCTGGCTGTGGACTTGAGTAGATTTTGTTGGATAGTTTCTTGCCAGCTCAAGTATAGGTGCATTACCAAATGGAGAGCTAAACATTCGATCTTGTGGCATCTATGCAAGTGTTAGCAAGCTTCCTTTTGAGCATGTTTTCTGTGCATAATAGGGGTAAATGTAATTTAGTGTCTCATAAACCTGCTTTCATGGCTATCGTGCACTTTATGCGTGTCGCATATGGGGCAATAAGTAACGTAAGATAATTATGTAGCTCAAATGCCGCAAGTAGAGTGTTGCTATTCTACTGCTTGCTTAAAAATAATTTGTCAGAGATAACAGCCTCTCTTTTATATGGTACATATATAACATGCTCCTGGGCGCTGTATGTTCTACTTATCATATTTATTTTATATTGCAGGATGCAAAGGAGCATCTTGCAGCGTTGGCTGACAAGCTTGGTCCATCTTTGGCTGATATTGATGTATGGAGGTTTTAATGCTTTGCATGAATTTGTTTAAGCTTTGTTAAGAATGGATTCCAAGAGTTTTACTCTAATGTCTTAGCTTATCATGCTCGCAATTTAAGCTATTTCATGAATTCAATGAGCTAACAATCTGTTGATTTTCAGTTGTCTGTAAAATCACCAAGAACACCTGTTGATGCTGCCGAACAAGGTGATTCTTCTTTTTTCCCTTTTTGCTTGGTTTGATTTGATGACTCCGAAGTCAGTAGATGGTTTCTGAAGGATCTCTGACAAAAATAGCATCTTATGTTACTAATGTAGAAGTTACATGTTCTATCTTCAACACTACGAAAATTGAAACTTTGGTTGGACCAGTGGTTCTAACTCACTGTTGATCTTACAGCTTGGGATACTTTCATGATGTTGTCAATCTGGAAATTTGTTTGACTGATTTTTTTCTACAATATGCTTTATGATTGTTCTTTATTTCCTAATTGACTGGATGAAGATTCATCAGGGAATCAATAGTTGTTGCAGTTGAATCCCCATATCATTAATTTGGATAACCTGTGCTCCAGGGACCCTTTTTTTCCCAGTAGTGTATGTTAATGGTGGGGGTGCCTTTTTCTCCTTTTTAAGTTATAATGTCTGGTCAATTGAAAGCACATTTTTGTATAAATAATTCTTCCATGATGGTTATAGTATCCCATATTGCTTGCATACGCCATTTAATGGCCTTACAATTCATTCTATTGTCACAATTGCAGTGAATTTTCTGTTAACTTTTTGGGTCTGTTATGCATATCTTTCTGTAGATCAGGACTCCTATGGCTTCATCTGTCTGTATGTTGGTGTAGTTTCAGCCATTTCTTCTGATTTCTTTTGGGTCCTTCTGCCACCAGATTACGATGAGAAGGCTGAAGATGCTGTTGACTATGAAGATATTGAGGAGCAGTACGAGGGTCCAGAGATCCAAGCTGCCAGCGAGGAAGACAACTTGCTTCCAGAGAAGGATTACTTATCTGCCGAAGTTCCTTTTGCTACTTTGTATGATAGAACTTCAGTATATGACGATGAAAATTATGATGAGGATGAGGAAAATGAGAAAGAGCAGGAGTTGGTGGATAAAGATGCAATGCAAACTACTTTATCAGGTTTGCTATGCGCCACATTACATTATGAGTTCCTTATAAAGATGCTTGTTCTCACTGTGATTCATTTGGGTGCGATCATTAAAATATACTCCACATGCATTGGTCTATGCCGTCCTTTCTTACTTTGTGAGTCATCTTTCTCAAGTATGGTATAAATTACACAACTGAAGCTATTTGTTATGAGTTTTGGAACCTAGTAACGTATTTTATGCTTACCACTACTTCTGGATTCCAAACATCAGGAGAAAAGTGAGGAATGCTAATTCAAATAGTATAGGGTTGTCACCTAGGTTTTAAGAAAATGAGCATGTTATTTTTTTATCAGTTTGATGATTTATATTCCTTTAGAATGTCTGGTTCCTTGCTTCTTGCAGAAAGATGACAATAAAGCAAAGAGTTCATCATTTACACCATGCTTTTATATCAAATGCAACATTAGCATGGTTTGTTTCTCTGAAATGGTTATTGGGTGCCATTCTGAAGGAAAACTGAGAATTGACAACGTCCTTAAACCTATAACATCCAAGAGGTTACCTTTTTGATGATGCTACTTAGAGTTACAGGAGGGTACCTGGAAATACTGGTGCCTTGACATTATGTCTGAACTGGAAATGTTATTGGTGCCTTGACATCATGTCTGAAGTGTTAATTTTTTGGTTTCAGACCACATCATTCATGAATTTGTAGCTCAGTAAGTAAATGGGAATTGTTGATAGTACTTAAAATGGAGAATCAATCTCTATTGATCACAGCTATTACAGTAAGATGTTGGTTGATATGTGTCTTAACCTTTTGGATGGTCTATGTCTCAATTCTTAACCTTTCGTGAATAATAAGATTGGTAATAATGACATTCTTCCTTCAGAAGTGCAGGCTGCAAGTCCTGCAGTTTGCTCTGAAGGCAGTATTTCCGCTGAGCATGAGCAATGCCATGCCTCTCCACGTAATGAAAGTCCAGTTGCTTCTTTTGAAGAATTTCAGGTCAGATTGGGTGTTTAATTTGCTTATAATAGAGTTGAAGTTTTCCCTTCCATGTTACAAGACTACTGCTCTTCGGATGTCTTTCATTGTGGCGATTGATGAAATTTTGTATCTTTTGTATACTCACATTCCTTTCGCAAATCCTTGTCTCTTGCTTTTTGTTGAGTTAAAAATTGATTCTTTGGAGCAAAGCCTATATAATAAGCACATCATAAATCTTCTATTCTAAGTAATGCTTTGTTGAAGTCGTGAATTAAGCTTTATAAAAGCTTTGCAATCAAGCAGCTTTATTGACATCTCTCATAAGGGCTCTGCTGTGTTTCCCAGCATAGTTGTTATTGGCTAAGTTATATTCAACTGAACTATTTGTGCACACATCAGGAGATAGCTGAAGCTGATGAGGAGCCACCGGAGGATAAAGCTTCTTCCCTGTTACCAGTTCTGTGTATTGAAAATGGGATGGTCATTTTACGGTTTTCGCAAATATTTGGCATTCATGAGTTTTCAAAGAAAAGCTACAGAAGGGATCACAAGACCTCGGTCCACAAAGGTATTTTGCTGATGAATTGTAATCTGTTCCTCGAATATTCCCCTTTATGCAATTGCCGATAAAAAAAAGTTTTCCCTATGTCCAATTATTGGTTATGTTACTCTTTTTGGCACCAAGCAGCACAAATACGAAACCGACAGTTGTGTACTGGACATGTGCAAACCAACAAAAGAAAAGGCAGTAATAAATAACAAAACCAAAAAGAATGATATACAATGGCTATAGCAGAAGAGAATTTCTAATTCTTTTATCACTCAAATCCACAAAAGAATAACGGAAGGAAAATTTAGAAAGAATCGGAAGAGAAGCATCTGTGACCTTTCTTGATGATTTATCTCTGTTCTCTGATGCATGTATCTCCTTCATGTCGTTGATTTGGTTCTGGCTAAATGTGCACTGCGTGATAAATTAAAGGAGATTATGGTAAAACCAACCCATGGTGTAGGTATTACATAGAGAAAAGGTACCATAAAAAGCAAGATATAAGCAGCCCAAAGCTATTCAAATGCAGAAGAAAGAGTGAAGCTTGGAGCCATGGCCACTCCAACATTGTTCTGTCTGTTTCTATACGTGCTGATCTCATTGGGAACTGCAAAGCAACTTAAAACCATTGTTGGGGCTGCTCTTTAGACTGTTGGAGTGCTATAGACTATGATAGATTATATCCTATTACTGTGTTTGTTCTTGGAGGAGTCATATATCTTAATCACCTCTGCTGGCGGTACATGAGAAAGTGTGGAGAGGAGCTAAAGGCCTGCAGCATTTACGTTTTGTAAGTAAAGAAGATAAAAGTAGACTACTTATTCTTCTTCTTCTTCTTCTGGAAAGGAGAAAAGAGAAGAGGGGGGGGTGTGTCTGGAAGGAAGAATAGGAGAGTTTTGAGAAACCACTGCAGCTTCAGTACAAAAGAACAGTGAAATAATCTCATGATGGTATTATACATGGTCCTTAATGAACGGTTTGATTGTTTTTTGTGCTTTCTCTTCAATTAGGCTGGGAGGTTCATTCCTTTCTTTGTTAGAAGTCTTTCTTCCTTTCCCTTGTAAACTTTCTTTGTTTTGTCTTTCATGCTTGTTCTTAGGATTGGGAGTGATTTTGGTTTCACATTTTGTTCTGAATTTCTTTCACCTCCTTTCAGAGACGTTTAAGTCTGCAGATGCTTCTCATGCCGTGGAAGAAGATGAAGAGGCTTTCTTAAGAGGTTTGGGTCAAGGTTTTTCATCCCTTAAACTGGCACAAGAAGTCCAAGATGATATATTGGGCAATACCGATGGTGATACACGGTTTGAAAAATATGGTGCTAGGCACGGTGAAGGCAGATTTCCTCTGAGAGCTGACGAGGACATTTTTCTTAGTGGAGGACCTATGAAAGAGGATCTAACAATAGATCTCTCAACAGTTTGGCAGTTGCCTCAAAGTCCTAATTTCTATCCTCTTGGTCAGCAAGACTGGGAAAATAGCATCCTCTGGGATGGTTGTCCTCTAAGCCCTGACAATTCTGCTGAAAACCATGACCTACGCAGAGCTGATTTAGGAGACTCGGTCAATGGAGTTTCTGGGCCACAAATTGGATCAGAAAATCTTAAATTAGGGCATCAAATATCCCAAATTGAGAAGACAGATGGATTCGGGTGTCCTGCTACTTTGGTTTCCATCGGATCAAACAGTACATTGAGATGTTCCAATCTTGTATTTTCCAGAAAGGATTTCCATCCCCAACTTCTGAGATTAGAATCTCATTTGGAAATGGATAAATTTTGCCATGGAGATGGTTTGGAGGATAAAAGCACAGAAGAGCAGCTTCAGCATGATGCTTTAACACAATTTAGCAAAATCTCGTTGCAGAATAGACGCATTCTGGATGGGTCCTGGGTTGATGAGATAAGTTGGGAGCCTAATGTTTCAATTGCAAAACCAAAGCTTATTTTTGATCTCCAAGATGGACGTATGCTTTTTGAGGTTTTAGATGACAAGGATGGCAACAATTTTTGGCTTCATGCAGGGGCTATGGTGATGAGTCGATCTCCAGAACCCATTAGTCATGATTCTCTTGAGCTGATCAGTCATGGTGGACTCTCTAGTTGGCAGTTTGACATTGCCAATGACATTTTCTATTCAAACAGGAAATCGTCTCAACAGCTTAATACTAGCTCTGAAAAACGCATTTCGTATGGTGGTGAAGTATATCATTCAGCACCCGCCCTTAAGTTGGAGACAATGAAACTAAAGTTGAGCAAGTAAGAATGAGTTGCTATGGTTCATAAGGATTCCTTGGGTCTGGTCTATTGCTTGTTTATGGAACATCATATGATTGTTCTGCGTTCAGCGTCAAGATACTTATCTATATTTGGATTTTTATCGAGCCGTTTTCATAGATTTAAACCAACATCAGTCCTTTGTCCTATCATTTTTTTATTTGAAGTTCTTGAATAGGTTATCTGACTATTTGTCCTGATCTTGCCTTGCTGAAGCTTTTCTTGAACCAAAAGCTTGGTCTTTTGTTGATGGCACAGATATCTGTAGGTTAATTCAGTATCTATACTTATCTCTAATATGACCTGTTGTCTAATGTTGTAATGCCCAGCCCCATTCAAATGGAAGGTCTTGTGTGAGCGGATACCTGTTTCATTATTTCCATTATACTCAATCTTTTCCTTTTTTTTTAAAACTATAAGTTTCTACAATTGTATATTGTTACGCCCCATAAAATGATTATCGAATGCATAGGCTGATAATTGATATTTACGGTCTAACAATATGATGTGTCCGCATTTGGTCATTCATGTTGTCGAACCTTTTTTAAAGTAGGTTTTATGGGCAGTTTAAGTTATTAGTCTTCATTAATGCAAGTTCCTAAACAATTTAGGAGTAGCGTGTGAAAGTGCTCAGAGCATTGGATGTTCAAATGCACTGGCTATAATTTACCTTTCTTGAAGACTTCTGCTTCAAATTATCTCCTAAATGAGGCTGTCAGTTGTTTGTTTGATGCATGTTCTAAGATCCATCTGTCCATTCTGGTGTGATTGCATATGGTTAGTGTCATGTTTGTCGTGTTAACGTTACCTGTTAACTTTGAGATTCATATCTTGTATGTCCTTTTGATCTTGTTTGCAGTAAAGATGTGGCCAATTTTCATCGACCTAAAGCTCTTTGGTATCCGTACGACAATGAGGTGGCAGTTAAGGCGCAAGGAAAGCTATCTACTCAAGGGCCAATGAAGATTATAGTAAAGAGCTTGGGGGGCAAAGGAAGTAAACTTCATGTTGACGCTGAGGAGACTATCTCGTCAATCAAGACAAAGGCTTCAAAGAAGCTAGGTTTTAATCTCTCTGCCATTATTTCTATTCAGGGTTGAGAATGTACCCAATTTTCATCTTGCAAATGTCTCTGTTTGTAGAAATTGAGCTCATTTTTTTCTTACAGATTTTAAGCTATCTGAACCAGTGAAGATCTTTTACCGTGGAAATGAACTTGATGATCATAAATCTCTTGCTGATCAAAATGTCCAGCCAAATTCCTTGATACATATTGTACGTACAAATTTACATTTGCTGCCAAGGGCACAGAAGATTCCTAGTGAGAATAAGTCACTGCGTCCTCCTGGTGCATTCAAGAAGAAATCTGAGCTCTCTGTGAAAGATGGCCATGTGTTTCTAATGGAGTAAGTGACTGGAAGCTAGTATTTATGTAAGAATATTTATTTGTCTATTATACCATCTTCTTTTATTCAGCCCACTGTTTAATGATTGATGCTATGCTTTTCCATGGATGCAATTGAAGGAAGTTTTTGTCATATAAAATAGTTCCTTTGAGACCATTCTTCTTCAGCGCGTGCTTATTCTGACTCTCTTTTGGTGATTGAAGTTCTAAAATGATGCTTCTCTGAGCAAAAATGTAGGTATTGCGAGGAAAGGCCCCTATTGCTGAGCAATCCAGGGATGGGTGCAAGACTTTGCACATACTATCAGAAAACAGCCCCAAGTGATCAAAATGGCATCTTTTTACGTAGTGAAAACAGGAGTTTGGGGACTGTGATGGTACTAGATTCTACTGATAAATCCCCTTTCCTTGGAGACATAAAACCTGGTTGTGCGCAGTCATCTGTTGAAACAAACATGTATAGAGCACCTGTATTTCCCCACAAGGTGTCCTCGACTGACTATCTTTTGATTCGCTCTGCGAAAGGGAAGCTTTCTATTAGACGGATTGACAGGATAAATGTCGTAGGACAACAGGTCTGTCCTAAAAATTAATGATACTCTTTCTTGGGTGCTTTTTTTTTATTAATTATAGTTATGATGGTCTTTCTTTCTAATCATTCTTTGACTTAAAATGAGGTAGATATAATTGTTTATGGTGTGTGTTTTATGTCCTTGCTGCTGGTCTGTGGATATCAACTATAACTTGTGTGGGAAATAAATTCTGTTTTCTTTGTCATATATACGCTATGTATCAGCTTTCTAGCATATTCACTTTTTCTTGAGATGTATATAAAGTGCTGATGTGCTTTTGAGGTTTACTGGCTGTCCCACTGTAACTGTGGTACTGGCTCTATACACTGTAATTAAGTTAATATGCTATCGAAAAATACGAAGGTCTCTGCACAAAACATATTATATGTGTGTTTTTTAAAGATCACATTGAAACATGTTAAAATCATGTCTCGGACACGCAAAATTAGGGTCAGAGAGTTATCTGCAAATGCGAGCCTTCAAAAATTTGTATTCACATTTTGTCAGTGTGGCAAAGAGTTTGGCTGTGTGTTCAAAACATGCTGGATGTCGAAGAAATGTCAATATAGTCTCCTTTGCCAGTTTAATGTTTATCCTTGACTTCTCTTTAAATTTAAAAGTTCCTATTTTCTGTCTTTTGTGCTCGTTTTCTGTGGATAGATCAAAGAAATTTTTTTGACTCGACCATAATGTTGAAAAGGATAAGATAGAAGATTGAAAATGGTTCAGTGCAAAACTTATGGATGATGAGATGTCAAGAGTGTCATATTTCAAAATAATTCATTTATGGAGAAAAGGCAAGTGGTGTGAGAATTTTGTTGTCAGTTCAATTGGTGATCATGGGGGAAAAGCTGGGAGAAGTTTGAAGATTTACAAATACTTAAGATTGCTATTTAGCGCACTATCTAAGACAATCGAGTTACGTTTCTGGTTAGCTATCTTGCGGAGGCAAATCCTATTAGAAACTTTCTTTAAATTAGAGGAAGCTAACTGGGAGTGCAATTGTTTCGAAAATCTCGATGACAGAGGAATTTTAGTGGCGAATAGATGTACTGTGTGAGTAAGAAAGGAAAACTGAGCTAAATGTTCTTAGAAGTTTCGAAGGCATGTAACTTCCTGTATTGTAAAATACAGCCAGGCAAATAGCATTAATGTGGGCCTTGCTAAGTCTTTTTTTGTTCGGTCATCTTTAGCATTGAAAGGAATAGGAGAGCTTTTGAAGGTAGAATCTCTATTTGATGTGGTCACAGATAGACTGTTGATGAATGTTGCTTGTGAAACAATGTTGCATCTCCTTGAATTTATCTCACGGTAGGTTGCTTAATTTAATAAAATTCCATCTAGACAATAGGGTTCGTGGTAGACGGGGGAGACTGATTTTAGTCATCTGATCTTGTTCCCACACTTGCAGGAGCCTCTCACGGAAGTTATGTCTCCAGGAACAAAAGACCTGCAATCTTTTCTCATGAAAAGAGTACTGGTTTACATGTTTCGACAGTTTCGTGCCCTTAAAAAAAGTGGCGTAGCTCCTTATGTACGTGCAGATGAGTTGTCCTCACAGTTCCTAAACCTGTCTGAAGCCTTTGTCCGTAATAGATTGAAAAAGCACGCATGCGCTGAGTTGAAGGTAGTTTTGCATCAATACCAAAACTTTGGAATGTTCCTGACTTTGTTGGTTGATGTATAATTTGTCTATTATATACTTATATAAATGCTTGTTTTTGGCTCTTTTTCCTGCCGTTGCTGTACTCTGAACTTGCAGTTTCTTCCCTGACTGTAGTCCTTTTTTATGCATGAACATGACAGAGGGGTTCAAATGGGGAATGGATTTGGAAAATGAGGCCCAATTTCCACATTCCATCAGAAGAAGCATTGAGAAAATTAGTGCCACCAGAGAAGGTAAGAGTTGTTTTCTATATTGTCTCTGCTTCCCTTGAAGCGAATAATGTGTTTGAGTTTGCATCTTTGAAGTTCATGCATAAGATTGAGTAGGAAGAGATGGTGAAGCAGCATGTTTTAATAGATATAGTGAGTTTTAACCAGAACTGTAGGATAAATTCATCTATCAACAGAACTTTTTGCCTGATGGTTGGGTTAGATTTGTGAATAATTCGCTAGTGGGGAGATGTATCTTATGCTGATGGACGGTAGGTAATAAATAGATTATAATCGGAGGTTTACCATCCAAGCTTCTGTTCTTTGTGAAGTGACTGAACTGAATTTATGAATATGGCACCTGTAAAAGTATGCTCAGTAACTGAAGGGTTCTTTGTTTATTTCAACTTATCTGAATGTGAATAGATCAATCACATCCAAACTTATCTCCAAGTCACATATACAGGCATCCCATCTATAGTAATGCCATCTACTCTTAAACATTTGTTGGCATCTGCATATCTCAGAGTTGGATCAAAATGGAAGCCTTTCTAACTGCTATTTGATGTTGAGAAAGTTGGGTAGGTGAGCCAAGACTATTTTTTCAGTGGAAGATTGTTGGCACGTGGCACAGTTCTGTCTAATGGTTCATAAGTCTGCATGTTTTAGCACCTTCTTGCTCTTCATGATGTGCTGTTTTGTGTGGATATTACTGATGTGACCTGTGTTTGTTTTATTTGGCCATCGATATGACCTGTGCTGATCAATCGCTTCGTCTTTCATCTGCACTTGGAAGTCAGACAAGTGTGCGAGTAATTTTAACCCATAAGTATGACTTTATAGTACTATAACACTGTATTAACTGCCCCTCTTAAGTGTTCCTTATGAAATCAAATGCTCCCGATGTATTGATTTTCTGCTCCATTTTGGTGTTAGGTCTGTGCATATGAAAGTATGCTAGCTGGTCTTTACAGGCTCAAACATTTAGGAATCAGGAGACTTATGCATCCAACTGGAATTGCATCTGCAATGAGTCAGCTTCCCAATGAGGCAATTGCCCTCGCTGCTGCATCACACATTGAGAGGGAACTGCAAATTACTCCATGGAACTTGAGTAGCAACTTTGTCGCCTGTACAAACCAGGTTACTTTTTGCAAAATAGATGAAATATACAAAAGGCTTTTGTCCTTCCTTTTCTGCAGCCCGGGACCCGGGTGCACTTATCTCAGTTAATGTGTTGATATTTGCTGTTCTCATTATACTTTTGGGACTCAGGTGCACTTTACTCCCTTTTGTCTTTTTTATTTTTTTACTTTAACTCATCATCTGTTGGTTACCTTCTTCAGGTTCGAGAAAATCTTGAGCGTTTGGAAATCTCTGGTGTTGGCGATCCATCTGGCCGGGGTCTTGGTTTTAGTTATGTTCGTGCTGCTCCAAAGGCACCAATGTCGAGTGCAATGACAAAGAAAAAAGCTGCTGCTGGTCGTGGAGGTTCAACAGTTACTGGCACAGATGCTGATCTACGTAGACTGAGCATGGAAGCTGCACGAGAGGTTTGTATGCTTGGTGACAAATTGAGATGAAGCATTTGACAACTTTGCATTGAATACTTTTTCATGCTTTTGTTATGGATTTACCTGAATCCTTCCTTATTTTGATTTGTCATGGTCGTCTTGCTTTGCTGTGTATTGGAGGCAAATTGGGTATGGTTACTAGATGACTTGTATTTCTCTTATGTATTGCACCATGCACTAAAATGTCCAGGTAATTCCATTGAAGAAAAGACACCTCCTAAGAAATCTTTAAATAGTAACTGATTCGAGTTTGTGTGCTTCTGTCCAGTCAAATTATACTACGCTTCCCTGTGTCCTAGTTGAAGATTCTTTGGTGCTTCTAAGGTTTTACTACTTTTTGAATTGCAGGTTCTTCTAAAATTCAACGTACCTGATGAAATTATAGCTAAGCAGACTAGGTGGCATCGGATAGCGATGATCCGTGAACTTTCTAGCGAACAAGCTGCTTCTGGAGTTAAGGTTGACCCTACGACCATTAGCAAATATGCACGTGGTCAGAGAATGTCTTTTATTCAGTTGCAGCAGCAAACCCGAGAAAAATGTCAGGAAATTTGGGATCGACAACTCCAGTCTCTTACAGCTATTGATGGTGATGAAGGTGCTAGCGATTCGGAATCCAACAGCGACCTAGATTCCTTTGCAGGGGACCTAGAAAATTTGCTTGATGCAGAAGAATTTGAAGGGGATGAAGCAATTAATGAACGCAAGCATGATAGATCTGATGTTGTCAAGGGACTAAAAATGAGGAGGCATCCGTGCCTGGTTGAGGCTGAAGAAAAGGGTCAAGATGAAGCTGCTGAAGCCGCTGAATTATGCAGGATGCTCATGGATGGTATCATGTTTGTTAGTTATTACTTACAAATTGCTCAATTTATAGAAAATAAGCTTTAACATGTGATGCTTACAAGACGATTCACTTAGCTGATTGTTAATTTAAGAACGATCATTCTTCCCTGCGCCAACTTCAATTTCTTTGATGCCTCTGCAGCATGTCTGGTGCCTCATGAGTTCTTGTTTGTACCATTCATTGGGAACGATTTTTCTTAATTTTGATAATAAAAAATTAGGGTGTTCTTTGATGATTGGCTCATGATAAACATGGTTTCTCTAGAGAATATGTTGGGTACAGATATAGCCTTCTGATTGAATAATGGTATGCAGAAGATGAGACGGAATTGCTAAAGAAAGAAAAGATTGGAGCTGCGCGGAAGGAACTTGGCCCTGCTCTAGGCTCACAACCTGTTTTTGTTTCCGAGAAAGGAGAGCGCGTCAAGAAACCAAAGAAAGTAGTGAAACAAGTATCAAGCTCAGTTGCTGGTGATGGTTCAAAACCGAGTATTCATGGTGATCAAGAAGATGTGAGCATTAGTCTTAAAGTTTGACCTTATTCGTAGTCCTGCTTTTAATGGATCATTTTCTTTAACATCTTGTCAAATTTCACTTTCTACCCATAATTTGAGTTAACCCTCTCCCTAGTATTGGTTGGATTGATAATTAAATCTTTTGGCAGGTGGAAGCTCTTCTAGCAAAAAACAACAACTTCCCAACGAAGGTGAAAGCTAAGAAGATTAAAATATTGGGTGACGGAATGAAGGCAAGTCGTTACTTGTTCTATCTCTTCCTTGACTGTAATCTAATGAATCTTTGATTGCGCTTATGATAGGAAATGTCTTATCTGTTTTTGCAAGAGTGCCTGTTGCCATTTTGTTTTTTACAGATTGTTGCTTGGGTTGCTGTTGCACTTGGATAAGACACTATCCAGTGAATATTATAGCTTTTGGGGGAAAAGTTCTCATTTAGAAATTCCCTTGGGCACTAGTAAAATAATTAAAAATAAATAGAACACTTGTCACAACACTTTGGAAAATGAAAGTTCGCAATAGAAGAAAACTACCTACGTCTAATAGGAAAATTTGCAAGTTTGAAGTATGTGTGTCCTGATTATGTAACATTTTCGGATGCACAGCAGTCTTCATTTGTAATTATTAGATCGGATAGAAGAATCTGCCAAGGCAGCAAGTGAAGGGGCAGTGGGAGCAAGATTGTTGAGGGAATGGGGTGTTTTGTTTTTGCTGTTAGATTGACCAAGATAACAAATGTTCTTTTTATCTAATCCAGGGCATAATTTTTTTGAAGCCATCCATATGCAAAATTATGCTCGCATATATTTGATTCATGGAATATTAAGTGAGCAAATGTGAGCAGATCTCTTTTTTCTCTGTGTATGGATTGTTGATGTTTACCTTTGGCTTCATTTTATTTACTAGAGATAGCATATTTCTCCCATTTGAAATAATCTATAAACATGCTTATCTAAATTATTATATAATATGAACTCCTAGTATATATCTGAAGAAAGATGGGATAAAGAATGGGCCTCTAACACATCAACACAATTGCAACATATCGAGCATTAGTACATTTGCTATTTCTTGCTTCTGCAACATTTGAAATTCGTACCTGATATGTCCATGAAAATCAATCTATAGATTTAATCCTTCGGCAGTCATGTACCACATCATGATGTGTGTTTCTATATGTGTGAGGGTGGACCTTTATTCTTCTTTCTCCAACACATGTTATATCTATTGTAAGACACTACTTCTTCAGTGTGTGTTCTCCTGTTTTACTTCCTATCTAATTTGGATCTCCAATTTGAGTTAGATCTTTAAGGAGAAGAAATCAGCCAGAGAGAGTTTTGTCTGCGGGGCCTGTGGACAGGTCTGTGACTTCAACCATTGTGGAAAATTTATGTTGTGTGATAATGTTGTAATGTTTGTCTCTCTCTTTTGTCCAGCTTGGACACATGAGAACCAACAAAAATTGCCCCAGGTATGGAGAGGATCTCGATTCGCAGACAGAAGCCGTTGATCCCGATAAAGCATTGGGGAAGTCAAGTTTAGTCAATCCTGCTAGTCTTCCCCAACAGAAATCTGTGACAAAGAAGATTATGCCTAAGAGTGCAACAAAAATTTCTCTGGCAGAAGCAACAGAAGGTCAGAAGTCTGGCGCCAAAACAAAAGTTCACTCTTTGAAGCTCAAATGTGGATCGATTGACAAGCCTTCTGATGATGTCACTCTGGGTTCTACCCAAAGTTCAGACCAAGTGGCAATGTCCATTGTCGATGCTGTGAACAAGTCTACTGTGAAGGTGAATAAGATAGTTATCTCTAGCAAAACTAAACCAGCAGATGTACAACTTGAATCCCATAAACCTTCTATCGTGATACGCCGTCCAACTGATGCTGATAGAGTCCATCCAGAAGCCCAGAAGACCTCTATTGTATTTCGGCCACCAGTGGATACAGATAAAGCACAAATTGAGCCTCATAGGCCATCTATTGTCATAAGGCCACCGGCAGATATTGAAAAGGAACAGTCTCACAAAAAATTAATTATCAAAAGGCCAAAAGAAGTTATTGACCTGGACCAGGCCAGTCAGGAAGGAAGTGCTGATTTTGAGCACAGAAAGACAAAAAAAATAGTTGAACTGTCAGATTTCGAGAGATACAGAACGCAAGAGAAGACTTATTTTACTGAGTCGTCATCAAAGAAGAAATCTCGGGAAGATAAAAGATGGTGGGAAGAAGAAGAGAAGAGGAGAAATATGGAGAGATTGAGAGAAGAAAGGACGAAGAGGCAGTATATGGAAGAAATGAGAATGTTAGAAGAGAGAGAAAAGTTAGCTGAGATAGAAAAATACGAAGTGTCATTAAGACGAGAGAGGGAAGAGGAAGAGCGGGAGAAAGCAAAGAAGAAACAGAAGAAGATGAAAAAGGCTGAAGTTAGAGATGAGTACCTAGAAGACTATAGGGCTAGAAGAAACGATAAAAGGATGCTGGAAAGGGACCGGACAGCAAAGAGGAAGCCTCTTATTGAGCCTGGAAAGTTAAGTGCTGACTATGCCCTACCTACGAAGCGTCGTAGAGGCGGGGAGGTACTCATTCTGTTGTTTCATACCCGATTTTCATTTCTATTTAGTCCGTTGCTTAACTACTGTTACTGGTAACTATATTGCACTTTAATGGATGTTCGATAAAATTGCATGACAGTAAGCGATAGCGATTACATATCACGAGCAACTGCATTGACCAGTTGATGCCATTCATGGATGACTTGTGGATGATTTGATAATTGTTGTTTATTGCTGTGTTCCAGTGAACATGAAATCTTTGTTTCAATTTGCTGGTCCGATGATCCCTTTCCAATTGGATATACTGATTTTCATATGGAGCATATTCCATGCATCAGGTGACTCAGTTTTCTGAGTGCTTATTTAATTGTGGAACTTATTCCAGGTTGGATTGATGAACATCTTGGAGCGCATAGTGGAGACACTAAGGGGCAGGCAGGAGGTTTCTTATCTCTTTTTGAAACCTGTCCCCAGGAAAGAGGCTCCAGACTATCTGGACATCATTGATAAGCCAATGGATCTGTCCACAATTAGGGAGAAGGTTAGGAGGATGGAGTATAAGAACCGCGAGGATTTTAGGCATGACGTGTGGCAGATCACCTTCAATGCCCACAAATATAACGATGGGCGCAATCCTGGGATTCCTCCACTTGCGGATCAGCTTTTGGAGTTATGTGACTACTTGTTAAATGAAAATGATGAGAGCTTGACTGAAGCTGAAGAGGGCATTGAATATTAGTTAGAGCCTGGAGGGATGTGTATAGTTTTACTCTTCCAAAATTTCTACAGTAGCCATCTCCTTTTCTGTACATATGGGGTGGGTTTCTAACTTCTAAGGAGACTCGACTTTGTGGGGTTGTCCCTAGGTCAGGTTGTTTGTTCCCTGTTGTATCCTTAAAAAAGATTTTGGCTTCTGCTGAATGATTATCTCAGATGCATATTGGAGAAATAACAGGAGGAAAGGTTCTTATATCCTTTGTTGATTGTATTTTCCCTTCTGTTATTTTGAATACCTTCGTGTGCTGCCCATCCCCAGAGTAAAGGTATTTATCTATCTTTAGATGTATTTAGAAGATCATCAGCTGAATTGGGAAAAGCTTTAGAGTTCGTGAAACAGACAGAAAGCTTAAAAGTTGAAAAATATTTTTCGAAAAATGATTAGTTATTTCGCTTTGAAAAATCTGTCAAGGGAAAATGTTTTCACTATCCACAACAATTTATGCTTAATAATTCTTGTGAGTGATAAAAATATTTTTTATTCATTTATTTTTGTAAGCGATATAAGTAATTGTTTTCTGAAAATATTTTTTAAATTTTGAGTTTTCCGTGAAACAAATGGAGTCCTTAACAAATGGTGATTCCTCTTTTAAAATTGAACATTAATGTGATATAATTGCTTTAAAATTAAACGGTGAAGTCACTAAGAAATGGTGATTCCTCTTTTTCACCGGAACTTAATGTGATAATCACGTTGATTGACAAAACTAGTTTTCATACCTGTTTGGGTAAATATTATAGTTATGGAGCGACTAAATGAGTGAATATGTTGGTGAATTATAATTCATACATTTTCGAAATGACAATTTACTTGATCTAATTTTGGACAACTTGACCAACATATTCTCGATATTGAGGTGAGAATTCTATGAAGAACAATTTAAGCTCCCAATGGCATGAATTGTAGTTCTTTTAACAAATTTGATTATTGTACAGACTCACTTCTAGATATATAGATTTGATGAAAGTAATAATTAAATTCTCAATTGCCTAATGATCAAACGTGTCGTTTATGAATGTAACTATAGACTATAGACATAGATTGTGGGTTATAGATTGGATTATGTATTTAAATGCTTAATTTTTTCCTAGGGGGCGGCTATTTTTAGGAGAAGCACAAATCATTTTCCTCCGACAAGGAGAGGATAATTCTAATAATTTACAATCCTAAGTGGACATCCAATATTTTTCATGGCCATAGCACAATTGCGTGCTCAATTAAATAACAGTAAAGTCACGTCTCATCAAAATTAACCCGTCGGATGATTAATTGTATGTATCGAACTGATCCCTCTATTGACGTTACATGTAACTGTCGGCGAAATAATAACGCGTGTACGGGATGATTCATTGGTCAGAATCACGCATACCAACAAGGCAAAATCCCACTGAAACCTTTAACAATGTCAAAACCCCATGACAGGTCTCCCATCGTGATGGGTTGACGACTGAATTGATCTTACAGTAACGTTGTACCAAATTGTCTGCGAATGCTTTATTTCATATTGTACTCACCAGCAAAGAGTCAAATACAAAAGGAGACATCAACAACAAACTCCCGCGACGTATAAATTCTTCCTCCATAAAGGAAGCGAGAACCAGACATCTCAAACATGCACAGACGATATCGACGACGACGACAGTTCATACATCAAACTGCGTCTGCACTTATTGTTTATCAAGAACAACCACAAGACTCACTCATGAAATTGAAGACCTAGCCGTGAGGTGATTCAAGGTTGTCTCAAGCCCACCATTGGTGAACAGCAACCCCTGCGTCCCTCAACCTTCCATACAAAGCCAGGCACTCCCAGTAAGCCCTTTTGCTCCTATTCGTGTGCCGGTACCCCCATTGACTGCTACACTCTAGGAACATTTCGTCCACCAGATGTATCGCCCTCTTCCTCATCATTTCTTCAGCCACTTCCGCGTCGGCCTTCATCACGACGTACTCTTCTTCTCTCACATTCTTGGTCAGCCAATCCGATACATCCAAGTGCGCATCCCCAGATCCGGTCTCGAGATGGTGCACCTCAAAGTGTTGATTTTGCACGGGGTAGTTCTGATGAAACCATTGCACCATTCCCCTGTCGTCCTCCTGCGAGCCTACTGTGATGAAATTGCGGCGGTTATAGCCTTGCAGAGAATCACCCAACAACTCAGGAAGATATTTGACCTTCTTCAAGTACTCGCCGGATCTTACTAGAGCTCGTCTTGGTGGTTCAAGCAACACATCCTCTAAGCCCTTCAGGGTGGCTTTCTTGGCTTCTAATGCCAAGTTGCAGAGTTTCCTCTTTGTCGAGGAGATTGTGAGCTGAACGTCCAGAGCGACCTTCCTCATTGCCACGACGGTGCAATCATATCTTCTCATATACACGATTTTATAATTTGACGGTTCTCGGAAAGCATTCGAAGGATCACTGCCAAGCTGAACAGCAAGAATGCCACCTATTTTCACTACCCTATCCACGAATTTAGGGTCAACTGAACCAGATACAAGTGCAAAATCAAACGTCCTGTCTGGGATCAGACTCTGACTCTCCACATCCGATTCCACAGCAAAATCGATCTCATTGTCATCCAAGAATTGGAGATTCTCACCGAGCTGCCTAATACCAGAGCTCACAACCAGAGCTTTATCACCTTTCTTGAGGAGGCCCTCATGAGACAAATCATGAAATAGGACATTCATGGACTGCAAGTTGCTCATATCAGAGACAACACCGAACTCAAGCGCATTAAATCGAGATCTTGAATGAGGGGATTTCATAAGGGACCCTATACAAGGCAATGTGAGTATAACCGCAGCCAGAAACAATGATCTCGACACGACGCGGAGGACCTTAGAATTGGGCAGCTGAATCAACAACTGGGAGTCGCAATCGGACGCAAGATTCACTCCATTCAAATGTTTCATCTTATACTGGTTCTTGGCTCGAAAACTATGAACCAAGTCCATTGAGCTTTTAGCCCTTCGGTCGATTAATCACAATGGTTGCCAAACTCAATGCACCGCAAAAGCAGCCGCTTTTGGCCAAATTAGCCAAATTGGCGAACACCCAAAATCGAGTAACGAAAGATGAGCGCTCGAAAAGAGGAATTGAACACAGAGACAAAGAAAGGGGGAATCTTTTAGCGAGTGCAAAACCTAGCAGCGGTGTGATTACCACCCACGAGGGCAACACGGATGCTTCGGACTCTACACCACAGTAGCATCAATTGCCTCATCCTCTCTGCCCCCATCCTGGGAAACCAAAAACCGAGCTTCTCTCCACCAGATCCTTACCCAGACGCTATCTCGTCACGCATCGTTCGGAACCCGGCGAATCAGAGAACGCGGTGTGTCGGAAAAGAACAAAAGGGAAGGAGAGGGCTGAGAAAGAAGAGAATGGGATTGTGCTTTTCGTGTTGCTGTCCTTTTATTACAAAATCGTTGGAGACAGAGAGATGTGTGTATATATATATAGGGAGGAGAGAAGTTTGCATGGAAACGGTTAAAAGGGCGAATGAAATGGGGAAGAGTGAGCTGTGAATGGGTAACTAAATTAAGGCCCTTCTCTTTGCTGGCTCTGCAAATCTTGCATTCCCATGCCGCGTAGGTGCAGTGTTTTTCCGTTAGACAGAGGAAGAGAGAGAGAGAGAGAGAGACAGACAGAGACAGAGGATTGGCGAAACTCGTTCATGGGCTTCGGCCGATTACCGCGCCATGTCCTTCCGGTGAAGCTCTGCCAAGTTCAGCAAAGCCCAAGAAGCCTTTTCTTGCCAGCTTCGGCCCAATGAACTTCTTGAGACAGCCTTCGAATTCAACATATGAAGACACTAACATTCGACCCAAACCAACGATTTTCCATCGTCGAGAGGAATCGCATTCTCGATCTTTTCGACTCACGTTGTCTATCGCATTGCATTGCATCGATTTGAATCCAAAAGACTCTGTCTTTGGTCTTTTTGGTCGGGCCATTGTGGACCGTAAAGTGATGAGGTAATCTCCATCCAGACACTAGTGGGCCAAGAGGAGAAGAAAAAAACATTGACGGAAATGTCAAAAATCGAACTGTATATAGAAGGGCTTCGTTCGTGATTTGCTGCGTATTGCACCTGAAAACCTAGCGAGAGAGAGAGAGAGAGAGCGAGAGCGAGAAAGATGGGAGTGGAGAAGGAAGTGCTGAGAGCAGGAACAGGCCCCAAGCCCTCTCGCGGTCAGAACGTCACCGTTCACTGCACTGGCTACGGTCGCCCCCCTCTCCCACCTCCTCTTCTTTTTTCTTTGTCTACTTGCAAGTTTAAGAGTTCTTGATATCTTGTCCGTCTTTCTATTTCACTGGGTATGCAGAATTGAAACTTTTAGTCACGGTATGCGTTGGGAATTGTACAGCCCCATGAGCTCCTTTAATGCTGCATGAATTAGATTGAAGTATGCTTGAATTGAATCGACACAGACTCGAGATCGTACTTCGACCATCACTTCTGTCGCCCTTTTCTTTTGTGTTCTATCAATTTGTGTTATGAACCTCATTGGTGCTTGTCGACCATCACTTCTGTCGCCCTTTTCTTTTGTGTTCTATCAATTTGTGTTATGAACCTCATTGGTGCTTGTCTGGAGTCAATCACTGAAAGGGTGTCTTAAAAAGGGTTCCTTTCTCACGCATTTTCCTTTCTCTCGGAACTTGTTCCTCTTTCAACGCAGGTAAAAATGGTGATCTCTCCCAGAAGTTCTGGAGGTATGGGGGTGTTGTGCTTTCTCAGTTTGACAGAGTTTATACTTTAATTTGAGGCTGGTTTTCTATTTGTCGAGATTATTGAGATCTGCATATTTCTATGTAGCACAAAGGACCCTGGACAGAAGCCATTTTCATTCAAAATCGGTCAAGGATCCGTGATCAAAGGTAACTCTAGATTCCAGCTTTGACTTTTGGAAGCATGACGATGGGATTCAGCTTTTCCCTCAAATGGAGAGCTCCATTATTTGTTATCCTGTGTGTGTTGACTATATAATTGTAATTTGCCTGATGATCGTCGAGGACTCAATTTGCAAAGTCTATCTTTTGCGTTGGCCTTACTGACGTGGTTGACAAGGATTACCGTTGTGTTATAAGATTTTTCTCTCTCTTGTAGGATGGGATGAAGGTGTGATGGGAATGCAATTAGGGGAAGTTGCTCGTCTTCGGGTGAATCTCATCCCTTATGTTCCTTTCTCTTCAGTTTTTTTTATCCTTCTTTAGGTCACAATGCATTTTACTTTTGGAAATTTATGACAAGGACATTGCATTTCCAAGATTTGGGTACATTCATGTGGACCAAATTATTTATGCTTCTTCCTAATGTTGATATCTCTAATCATCTGATATATTTGAATGGTTTTGCAGTGCTCTCCCGATTATGCTTATGGCCCAAGTGGATTTCCTGCTTGGGGGATCCAGCCGAACTCGGTTTTAGTGTTTGAGATTGAAGTTCTTAGTGCGGAGTGACTTAGTACCCTACTTGGCATGTGATGTGCTGGTGCAGAGGCATATTTCCGTACTCCAGATAATGTAATGCATGTGTGTTGTTGGCTTTTGGCTCTTGATGAGATTTGAAGTGGCTAATACTAAACTGGATTATGATGCTATGCAATGTCAAGTTTCTGAATAATTGACAAAAATCAAGCTTCCTAGTCATTCCGCCAAATAACAATTGCCACTCACTTGTTCGGAGCTTTGATTTATCCAAAATTTGCATGGAATCTATCCTCCGCAGGCCTAATTTTGTGAAGTATCCTCTCATTTCCATTTATTGATACCCCATGATTAATATAAATTTCTCAAGCAATTCTTTTTCGGTCAAATATTCTCTGAGACTACGGTACTGATCTGATGGCTAAAGCAGAGCTAAACCCGCTGGAACCTGCACCTTATTAGAGTAGTTCATACGTGAAAAGGTTGAGGTATTGGACAATCAAGAGGTAATGCTTTTGATGAAATCTTCCCTGGCGCAATATGTAGGATGGGTTCAAACATTTGATTTTATTGTTGCAACGGCACTTTCTCCTGGCCTAGAGAACTCTTCCACAAGTACGTCGAGAACGCTAGAGAAGAATAGACATGTTTGTTTTGTTCTTTTTATGCATTAAACTCTATGTATAGTTTGAGATCTAAAAGAGGCTGATCTAGCTGCAAGCACAGCCACCGAAAGAATTCTTCGACGGTGCTCCTACTTTCCTGGTGGTAATGACCTCTTGAAGGACATTTCTCGTCCACTCTGTAAAAAATGTCTTGTTATATCCAATTTTGCCGCTTTTGTAGATGGACATACATCGACGATCTTCTTCCGGATAGGGACATGGTTCTCCATCTGGATCCCTCCAAGCACCCTTGTGTCTCATCCCTGACCAACTAGCTAACCAGCGATAAACATACTGGCCGACTCCTGCATTTTTCAACCACCCTTTCGGATAGAACTCCATTATGCTGCTGTTTCTGTCCATCAGGAACATGTTGGTCAACTGCGCACCATGTGGAGACACTAGAATGTCTGTCATGCTCATCAATTTCACCTGAAACGAGATCCTTGATTATTATCACGGACTTGAATGTTACTAGCGAAGCCAAAAGCAACCCAAGATTATTGTGTCTGGGTCGAGGATCTTTTTCAAAATTACAAAAGCTGTTTCATTGATAAGGTCGAGTGAAGTTCCAGCTTAGATGTGTGAGGTAGGCGTATGAAAATCTTGTACGAGGCATAAGATATCAATGCATGTAGTCACCTGTTCACAGAAATTGAGATTACTGGAGTAAGCCACCATCAGACTACACCTTTTGACCTTATTGCATTCTCTCTGAAAAATCTCGATCACAGCCGAGTCATTCTTGAATGATCTCGCTCCTCTTCGCATGAACATAGTCAGACCAACAATATCATTTGTCTTTTTTCCATTAACCTCTTCGATTTCACCTCTCAATTTCATATTACAGTAATTTCTTGCTTTGCACCTCAATAAGTCGTAAGCCTCCACTCTTCTCTGTCTAGACATACCACCTTCACTGTGTCTCATAACAACTGCCTCCTCAAAACAAACTGGACCATTTTCCTCATTTTTGTCAAACTCTTCTATGGGTGGTTGCTTACCAAACGTTGCCTCCATCAAGTTATTCAGCCATGGTGACATCTTGAACCTGAGCTCCCCCCAGTGGTACAAGACCCACCGGTCTGGGGACCTGCAGCTGTTCCTCTGATGCCACGATATGAACGGGAAAATGGATGACAAGCCGTGCCAGAGGTTATCATAATGGTAGTGATTATACGAAACAAAGGTCAGGCCTCTCATGAATGTGGCATTTGCTGGGAGAGTTTCAGGCCACGCTAGCGCGTAGTAGTTCCACGACCCATCATGGGTGTCGCGTCCTTTAACGCACAGAACCCTACCTTTCGACGATTCCGAGGGGAAGTGCTGGTACTGGACCTCGCCTTCGACATGAGTGTCGTACATGGAGCTCATGAACCACGTGTGGCCCTCTTGAGGTCGGTCCGCAAAGCGTACGTCCTTGAGTGGAAGAAACGTGACTGATTCACGGAGCTTTTCGGCCATAGCTTCGAGCTTAGCCTCTGGGGTCGAATCACCAGAGCTTCGGGTGGTGTTGAGGATATCACGCCACTGCTGCTTGAGAGACCAGGGAGGTGACGGTGTTAAAGGTGAAGATGGTGGGGTCTGGAGATTCGGGATTCGTGAGAGGGCAAAGATTGTGAGACTTGTGGTGAGGATGAAGGCGGAGAGTCTTTGAGAATTGATAGAAAAAGGAAGGGTGAAGCATCTTTTGCTGTACTTGGATGAGGAGGAGGTTGTCTTGGTGTGGATTGGAAAAGTGGTGTTTCTCTCTATTTGGTGAGATGCTTTAGCCATGAATGAATGATTGAAGTGGCAGAGATGATGATGATGATGATGATGAAGCTTCTGTTCTACAGAGATCCCCTTAAGCTCTGTAACTGATCTGCTGCTTCTCATAGGCAATGTCGAAAGATGTCCACATGATCTGTGCAGGGTCAGGCCAGATCGGCGTTTTTACTGTGACACAGAGCATCTGTTTCATGTTGCAAACTCATGGTTCAAGCACTCTACTTGCCTATAAGATGGAGGTACTGATAATAAATTTCTACGTGGTTATTGGCCGTTGGCTAATTCTGTTTCAGTAACATGTTTTTTTTTTAAATTTGGTTGTTGTCAAAATTGAACATACATACATGCACATGTATTTGTATAATTGAAAAGCGACTTACAAAGAAAAAAAAAACTTAGAATTTAGAAATCAAGATCCATATATGAATTGATCGTACATTTCATATGACTCTCCTCGTATGTAAGACGAGATTTACACATTCAGTGCGAGATGTGGATGTAACCATGTCAACTGAACAAATAGAGGTACAAAAACAAGTGAAATAACAAAGAGTAATAGACAGAATACATACACAAGAGAGGGTGCTATATTATATGAACTTGTGACATTTGCTAAGATATGAATTGGGAAAATTGTTCTATCGCAAAAGCAAAAATTATTACAAAGCGTGCCAATAACAAATGTATAGTATATTTCTTTTTAAATTTAATTGGTTTCTCCTCCAATACAGCTAGCCGAGTGGACCATCCACACACATCTTACTTTCTTTTCTTTTTCCTATTTCCCTCCACCGGTCCTAGGCCCTGGCAATGGCTGACGGAGGTTGCCGGTCACAGGTGAGGGCCGCAAAGCCCTCACTAGATTTGGCGAGGCAAGGGTTGGCGGCCCTTGCTCAATGGTTGGCGAGGGCAGGTGATGGGGACTCCCTCACCTATGGCCAGAGGAGGGAAATAAAAAAAAGAAGATTCAGAAAAAAAATTTCAAAAATTGTCCACGTCACCGTCGGCTATACCATGTTGGTGATTTTCAGCCAAAATTAACTGAAATGACTAACTTTGACTTACTTGGCACAATTAAAAAGTTTATGACTGAATCGGTCGCCGTACAATGGAATTAGAATATTTTGAACAATTATCCCCGTTGCATGATAGCCAAGTAAGAGCATGCATTTTCCTTGACAATCGATATTCATCTTTTCGTGAGGAATCAAAGGACTCATGCAAAACTTTAAATTACTGTAGTGTGATGGACATGATTACGCATGGTAATCCATATCACATCGAATTGATAACTCCATACTATCTGACGAGTGCCCATGGTTTCACAGCTTTAATGTTATTTACTAATATTATGGTCCTTGGTTTCATGCAGGAATTATCAGTTCGTATGTGTCCTTGATATGAATATTCAATCCTGTGTTAGGTTAACAGACTCACCCTTAATTATTTCCAATCAACGGGAGGATGAGATGTGCCTTGTTATGCTATTCCTTGACCTAATCTATGATGGTGATCTAAGATAGGAATTATTCAAGATTAGATAGTAATTTCTCAACTTTTGCGTGCTTCTATCACGTGAATTTGAATCTACGCTCATGTGAGACCTTTGTGACTAGCTCGATGACAATGTATTGGGTTGAATCATTCAAATTGCTTGTGTCCTTTGTTTTCGTCCGACCTTATCCATGATGTGACTGTTAATCAATTACAAACTTTAGCTTGCAAGGAAAGGGCAATGAAAAGTCAATTTTTAGAATATTTATGAATGTTTCAATTTGAGGTAGGTGACCACTGACCAGAAGCTGTCAAAGCTTGAGCTTGACGTCAACGCACGTTGGAAGCATCACACCCCATCGCTTGACGTGCTTGTTTTGTGTGCCTTCTCCTCCTAAACTTTCCCAGGCGTTGAATCAAACGAAGAGCCTTTTATGCATTCTTTCACGCCAATTTCATTCCTCTTCCGAATAACGTAGCTCCACAAGAACCATCATTCATTCACCCCTCACGGATATGCTGAGTAATATCCACCCAAAGCACTGGCTTTTATAAAGAGAGATCCTTTGATTTCACCCATTTGCATTTAGCTTATCCAACATGGAGAGATTGTTCAGGATGTTCGCGACCGCAACTTTTTCATCTTTCCGCTTATTAAGAGGTCTCGTTCAATCTCCTAACCCTGTTATTGCGAATCGACTAAGCCAGCACCATGGCGATGCGATGTTCGAGTCCGGCTATTCGACTGATTACCGGGGGTTGCAGCAGATTTCCCGAGCTTACCGCAAAGAAGTGGACAGACCTGATTCCAGTAACGAGTATGATTCTTCTTTCACACCACTTTTTCAAAGGGAAAAAAGGAATTCGTATTGTGGAAATCAACTGCAAATCAATCCTGACCCTCGTACATGGTTATTTGTTTTGTCCTACATAGGGAAAACAATGCAAGTAAAGAGATCCCAAAGCCACTGCCAGATCCTCCCAATCCATCAAGGTTCCCACCATGGTGTTTTTCTTTTCCACAATACTTCTCAAAAGTTTTCATCGTGTATATTATGAAACCAGGAAAAGATATGATACAGACCAGTCTCGCCAAAGAAAAAGAATGATGAAAATTCAAACCATTGCAGGGTTAGATGGGTCGTGGGCTCTATATTGTCTCTCCTGATACCCTTTTGGAAGCTCAAATGGGACCAGCTGCAACAAATAGAAGGTACCATCTCCAAAAGTTCTTAATCCTTACACAGTTGACAGAATACCATATCTGATATATTTGAAGGAAGAATTACGTCTGCTATGGTATTCACTTCCTTAGGTATCTAAATATATCGATTCGGTGTCATTACTCAGCTAACTTTACTTTTACTAGACATAGCATTTTGAAGACAAAGTATTTTAAGTGTTTTTTTCCTAAAGAAGATAATCTTCAGGGAAGGCTGAAGAGGTGATTGAAGATGCCGAGATTGTGGCCGAGGTGGTAGAGAAGGTTGCGACCGCGGCTGAAAAGGTATCGGCCCAAGTAGCTGATGAGCTCCCCGATGACAGCAAACTCAAGGAGGCTGCATTGTTTGTTGAACACGTATCAGAAGTTACTGCTCAAGATGCTCATTTGACCGAGAACTTCATTCATAAGGTATTTGTGTCCTCCTCCTCCTCTCATCGCCTTCTTTCACTCATGAAATATCATATGCTTGCGACCGGTTAACATAAATCTCGAGGAAGGCCAACCGCAAGCATTTATATTAGTTGATAAATCAATAGAGAACAAAGAGATTGGTAGCTAGATATCACGAGTAGTTGTTCAACGGCAAACTGCATTCGAATCGAAGGGAAATAATATTATCATCGGGTTGCCATCCATTTAAGGGGAAGCATAACGAAGTACTGATAATGGGGCGGTTCCATACATGTAGTTTGATGAAGTGAAACAAGAGGTGGAGACGGCGGTTGAAACCGGCATCCGGAAGATGATGGAGCAACCGTCTGAAGAACTCATTCAAAAACCGTCTGAAGAAAAATAAACATCTATCATTTTCAGCCATCCAACCTCCAAAAATCTCCTTCCAGAGAATGGTATAGAGAGAATACTGTACATACCATTTAGGGGAGGGAAGAAAGAGTTTTTAAAGGCTATAAATAAATGAAGCGTTCGTCGCAGTGATGTAATTGTACATCAGCACATGACATTAATTTCGATTTCTAGGAAGGCACAGTCTCTAAATCCTTTCCTTCTTCCCGTTCATTTTTACCATGTGAGTTCGATGCTTGGGTGTTATACTCAAGTGAAATTTGGTTCTCCTCTTGAGGGTTTAGTATACGCTTGCCATACTTTCATCCTGCAATGCAATTATGGACCATTTGCCTCGGAAATCATTTGAACTTCATCGAAAACAAAAGCTGACTTGTCCTCGGATGCCTCTAATCAACCATCGAGCTTCGCTATGTCTCGACTTTGATGAGAATACATTTAATCAAAATTGCGAGGCACACAGAAAAAGAAAACTGTAACTGTGGAGTCACGGAAGGAAAGGAGAAAATTTATGATAAAAGCACGAAAATGTGTCATCAAAATCCTTTCGAAAGGATCGAATGGCATAACGAGAAAGGATCATCCTTCAAGGATCAGCGGTCTATGGACAGTCTCCTAGTGCCCAAATTGTGACTTTTTATGTGTAATTTGCCTAACCATCTCATGCAATCATACCTATTTGTATACAAATGTGGATTCTGACTTAAGCTCTTCCAATTTCATCCAATGGACATTGTTTTATCGAATCAAAAGCCATATTTATTCCTGAAAATAGTCCTAACATTGAGCTCTTATATTGCATGACACTCCCCGCTGTAATATGGACGTATCTTACTGCAAGTTAAAGAAAAGGTGAATGACCAAAAATTGCCGCCATTTAGGTTAAAAATAATAAGTCATCGCTTATCAGTACTTCCAGTTGGACTCTTTGCCTCGTACAAGATGGCATTCTGATAAACTCATGTAAATCGAAACTAATAATAGCATATTCAGGACACCATAAGCATCATATGTATACTCTCAAACATTACATTAAACTTATTGTAACCGGGAACCATATAGATCATAAACATGACACGCATGTCAACCCTAAGTGTGATTGAGAAAACCAGATTAATCTGTCGGCCCAAGACATGGGCTTAAAATAAAGCTCTTCACGACTCGTTACACGGCCAATGCGGCAGCGAACCCAGCGGCCAAAACCCCTGAGAGAGCAAACTTATTCGTCACAGCGCCACTACTGGGTGCCTCCGGCATCACTGTACCTTCAACTGGTGGAGACGAGGCGGCCAACGGAGGCAGAGAGATAGTCGTCGATGCGGTAGTTGTCGATGCAGGTGGGGACGGTGGCGAGGTGAACATCGAAGGGGAGGGGGCACTCGCCGCCAGCAGCAGCGACAGCAACGAAGTCAACGATGTGACCCGTGGGGGGATAACCGGTGCGGACGCTGATGCTTCTGGCATCGATGAGTTTGCCGGAGACGGCGACTGAGCAGGCGGTGTAGGCGGAGACTGCACCACTGATAAGCTGAACGAGAGTGGCGAGATGACGGCCGCGAGGAACAGGATTCTCGGGACCGCCATTGTTGCCGAGCGAAAATCTCTCAACCTGCACTTGGAAATCAGAGTCTGGTTGCTGATTCGGTTGCCTGAAGAGAGCGAAATATATAGAGGAGAGCCATTGGACGGAAAGTTGGAGGTGAGCGGGACATAGAGTCGTGCTCCTCCACTGATGCCCACGCAATATGGTTATATCTAGCAAAATTTCAATTTGATTTTTAAACGCAACATGCTTATAAATCTAGGTTTTGAGAAAAAATATGGAGAGGGAAACGAGAATTAAATAACCCCTGGTCGAATCTAAATTCCGGAAAATACACATTTTATAATCCAAGCCCCAGAGGGATGTTTTTCGCCTCTGCAAACAAATATTTGTGCACGCGTATAATTACACGTATCCCGCCATGTTAGACGTAATATAAGTACGAGATTATCATAAACTATGTAAAGTTTGAGAAACTAGAAAGTTGAAAATTCTGGGTGAAGCGATTTTTATGGGGCTTATTGATTATTTAGATATGAAAAGTTTAAGATGCCAATTCTCTAAGTTAAAGTTTGATCGTTTCCCCCATCCATCCCGGTATCCACGTGTTTGATATTTTGAATATAGGTTTTGAAGCACCAAAAAATTTTAAAACTTAGCTCCGCCTATTTTATATGATGGAAAATCTCACCTGACTTTTCTAGTATGTTTAAGGTTACTTGACGCGACCGATTTGACACTTAATAAGAGTTGAAGTGGAGCCATATGAACTACGTAAAATGATAAGAAAAGGAAGAGAGAGAGAACACGCCACCCAGCCTTCCTTCATTTGGACACTTGCGTGACCATTTATGATGGCTAAATTGCTTTCGCCATATTACAGGGTGGCCGAGGGGTTTAATGGTAGCTTTTGTTAATTTTACAACTTAATTGCACTTTCTCTACATGATTTAAGATTTCTAGTGCGATAGTCTCGTAAAAATATAAATTGTTCCACACATTTATTAAAGAAAGGAGTAAAGAGATTCCTCGAAATTTGAGTATCTCTTCCTATTCAATAATTAATAACACCCAATTACCAAATGACATTCTGTCGAGGATAATAAGTTTGATAACGAACAAAACTCTGTGTTGCCGGTTATAATCATTTTCCTTCAATTTATGCCTTTCTATAAAAGATCATATATGTAAAAAAGATGCAACAATTTTTTTTTTCAATTTAAAATCATTCTCTACATTTTTTGCTTTGGCCAATTGATTAATAGTGCCTATAAGTAGAAGTAGCTCCTTACCCTACGAAAAATATAGGTAATCCCATAAATAACCAAATAGTACATTTGAGTACTATTACTAGATTCCTTAACGAAAGTGACCATTACTAGCAATTCTCGAAAATGACGGATTTTAATTTTTCTTTTTTCTTTTTTTTTGAGGTAAAAGAATTTTGGAAATTCCAACTCGTGAAAGGTCACCCTTTGCGTGCTTGCATAGGGCTCTGGCCAGCCTCGGCCCATAGAGTTTGCCACGTCATCGTTTCAAGGCAATCGACGAGTTTAAGGTGCTAATTGTCCTTGGTTAAAGTTTGTATGTACACCCATCCACCCTTTAATCCACGTGTTTGTTCTAAAAATAGGATTAACTACATCAGAAGTCTACGACTTGTAACTTTATCAATCCCGTTCATTTCATACGATGAAAAATCTAATCCGACTTTTTTAACGTATTTGAAGTTATTTGGTATCGATGCGACACGGAATAAAGGCTGGCTGACGAGTTGACGCGTCACCACGTAAAGTAAATAAGAAAAAGACAAAAAAAAAAAAGGCATGAGAAGAGAGAGAGAGAGGGATTAGCTCACGAAGCAGACCAAGTCATGGAGAATCTATTTCAACCTCACGTTTTCCTCGTCATAATCAATTACCTTTTGAATCAATTCACATCACGTCCTCATGCATTGCATAACACGCTGAAACACTCTGGCCACTGGCACTGACCAAGAGACGTTTTCCCTCCAATTTTATGCCTTTTTACAAAAAGAGAATTAATAATAATAAAAAAGCTACAAATTTTTTATTTTTTTTCGGTTAAAATCATTCTCTATACTTCTTGTGCTTTGAGCCAACCGATTAATAATGCCTTAATATTAGGGATAATGACACATGAACTTTGACCCAATATGCAATTTGATCCCTGAACTTTTAATTTGTTCAATATAGTCCATGAACTTTAACTTAATGTTCAATTTAGTCCCTGAACTTTTAATCTGTTCAATGTGATCCCTGAACTTTTGGTACATGTTCAATTTAGTCCCTGAACTATACGAAAATGTTCAATATAGTCCCTGAACTTGAATTAATGGAAAGACTACATTGAACATTTTCATATAATTCAGGGACTAAATTGAACATGTATTAAAAGTTCATTGATCACATTAAACAGATTAAAAGTTCATGGACTAAATTGAATATTAAGCTAAAGTTTAGGGACTATATTGAACAAATTAAAAGTTCAGGGATCAAATTGCACATTAGGTCAAAATTCAGGGACTTCTTATGTCATTTTCCCTTCATATTACCCTTAAAAAAAGAATTAGGTGATTCCATAAATAAGCAAATAATACCCGAGCAGCAGCAGCAATCCACGAAAATGACGGATTTGAATATTTCTTCTGTCTTTTCGATGCGAAGATATTTTGGAAATTTCGACCCACGCGCTGATTGGAGACTTCGCTTCGCTTCGCTTCGGGGAAAGTTCGCTCCCGCCCGGCGTTGCGGCGCTTCTTGGGACTCGGCCCGTCGGATCCGCCACGTCATCCCTCCGAGGGGATCATCGAGCGCCGCACGGCGCGAGGGGACCGGTGGGCGCGGGCGCAGGGGATCCCCGCACAGTCGCTGGGATAAAAGCGCGGCTTGACTGGAAAAAGCAAGCGAAACCCACCCCCCGCCCTCCCTCCCTCCCTCTGCCACGTCGGACGAGGCAAAGATACGACGCGTACCGCCATGGCCATCACCGTCTACCATTCTCTCTCCGCGCCGGTGCGGACGCAATCTCATTGGCCTTTTGACTTTCAAACCTCCTTCTCTCTCTCTCTCTCTCTCCCTCGATTCTGTTGGATTATTATTATTATTATTATTAATTTTGGGATTTTTTTTTACGGGAAATGGTGGATTTTACGCGCTTCTCTGTCTCCGATGTTCTGTTTCCCTCTCTCTCGCTCTCCCTCTCCCTCTTCTTCAAATACTCTCGTTACGCCATGCACACTCTCCATTTCTCCCTCTCTCCCTCTCCACCTCCACCTCCCCACCTCCCGCCCTCCGTCGGTCGATCCTCGCCGCGTTCCGCTCCAGCTCGATTAGGTCCGCCGCCGCCGCCCGCCGCCTCCTTCGCCAGCCGGGAGCAGCGCCGTCCTCTCGAGCCGGTCCCGGCCGCCGTGGACGCGCATTTCCGTCCGCCGGCCGGTTCTGGATGCGATCGGCGACCGCGGTCCCCTCGCGATGAGACCTGAGGTTTCCGTCGGGGCATTGCTTGCGCATGGCTGAGTGTCGGAGATACCTGCCCGCCCAACATTCGGGTTGGTTTTCTCGTCGCTGTTCGCTTCTGTCGGCTTTTGGTGGGAGATGGATGGGGTTTTTTAGTTCGTTTCGTTCTGATTCGCGTGTTCTGTTGCGCGCGCGTGGAATTTTTTTTTTCTTTTGGCGTGCTTCGTCGATTGCTTTGATGTAGATGTAGGATGGCGATGTGCCTTGCGTTCGTGCTTGCGTGTGCTCGTTTCAGTCGGGTATTGTTCTATCGCGGTGTGAATTAGTCCGATTACGAAGCAATGATGAGGACCGAGACATTTGAGTAACTTGCCTGCGTGAATTTTTTTGTTCTCAGTAATTGTCGGGACTGACCGAATCACATTGAATTGCTTCGTAAATTAGCTACGCCTGTAGTTGCAGTTAAGAACTGGAATATGTTGTAAATTAGGGTGAGGAAGTATGCAGTGCTTGTCCTCTAAAGATATAGCCTTGCCACTTTTTTTCATTTTGGATGTCGAGTAGTGATATTATTGAACTTTGGCAGACCTACAGCAGATACTTCAAGAAGCACAGCACCGTTGGCTTCGTCCGACAGAAATTTGCGAAATACTTCGGAACTACCAAAAGTTTAATTTGACGCCAGAGTCACCCTCAAGGCCTCAAGGTTGTTATAACTTTTCATTTTAATCTTTATATTCAATCCTGTTTCTTATTTAGTTTGATTAGCTTTCACAAAGAGGCTCCTTAGTAGCTCTGTGGCTGTTCCTTTTAGTTTTAATAAATAGGCAATTGATGGTTCTTTTCTCTTTTATTGCTTTCAGTTCCCTATGTGCAACTTCATTGATTCCATTTATGGAAGATATCGATAAACAATTGAGTCCACTCGATCCTTTTCTGCAGTCTTGTGTAGTTTATGATAAGATACCATGTCAAATCTCTGTTGTGGATTTCCTTGCATCAGATTGAATTGAAGTCCCGATGGTGTTTTTAATCACCTTCTCTGTGTGTTTCCTTTTTTGGCTGAGTGGTGTTGTTCTCTTCATGAAAGGTTTGGGTTTTCGTTCGATTACGGTTGAAGGGTTCTAGGATCAACAGCTAAAATCATATATTGCAGTTGATTTATCTCATCGGTTTTCTTGAATCAAGTGGAACCCAATGGGATCTATCGAAATCGACAACTGGTTGTAGATGAACATAACTATACACTATTGTTTGATGCATGAGACGCGCATCTGATGAATTAGATATATCTAGTAGTTTCTATTCTCTCCTTTTGCTTGTGCTGCTTTGTTTGTCCCTTGCTTGAATCAAGCAGTTTGTCACCTTTTTAAACATGCATGTGCGTGTGAGAGTGTGTGTGTATTGGAGCTGATGGTTCAACTCAGGTTCCAGCCAAAACAAAGTAAGCTGTGACATGGAAAAAAGAAGAAGAAATTTACGTGATTTTAAATGAGTTTGGGATGTCAGTCTTTTTGAATATTTGAGGTGTCTAGCAATAACTCAAATTCAACTCAAAAAGAAAAATTTCAAGCAGAAAGCTAAAACAAGTTGTTGGAAACACACTTCATAAATCTTGGCAAAAAAAAATAAAAAAGACACGCGCTCGCTTAATTATTTCTCTCCCGACAGGCACATGCAACTTGTAGAATCCAGTACCACTTTTTGGATAATATTCCT